GCGGCGAGGCCCCTGTCCCTGTCTGAAGCCCGTCGCCTCCCGCCCGCAGGAGTTCTACGGGGACGATGCCCAGAAGTCTCATGACTACGGGAGGATCGTGAGCTCCCGGCACTTCCAGCGGGTGATGGGCCTGCTGGAGGGCCAGAAGGTCGCCTATGGAGGCACTGGGGACGCGGCCACCCGGTACATAGGTGTGTGCCCTGCGAGCACTGCCCTCCTGCCCAGGCTGCCAGGGTCCCTGCGAGTGGCAGCGAGTGGGCACAGATGCTTGGAGAGCAGACAACCCTGCAGAGGGACGGGGCAGGCCTGGGGTGGGCTCTGCTGCTCTCTGGACGGGTGACAGCTGGCCCAGCCCAGCAGCCCCCTCCCCGCAAGGCCTCAGCCGGGGTGTGACAGCAACGCCACGGAGGCCGGGTGCAGGGCTGGAGGGGCCCAGGGGCGAGGCGTGAGGACCACCAGACGGGCCCACGTAGCCTCCAGGTTTCCAGGGGGCAGAGGAGCTTCAGCAGGGGCTCAGGTGGCCTGGGATGCACCCTGTCCCCTTAGGTGTGGGCCCTGGGCCCTTCCATACAATTAGCCCCTCCTCCCAAGGTCGGGGGGCTGGAGCCCGGGCAGAGGCCTGTCTGCCCCTCTCGCAGCCTCGGCAGCCGCAGCCGGACCAGTAAAGGAGTCAAGGGGGGAGCCAGGTGCCCGGTCGGCAGGCAGGCGAGGGTCTGGGCGGGGCTGACTGCTGGTTTCCTGTCCAGCCCCCACCATCCTCACGGACGTGGACCCCGAGTCCCCGGTGATGCAGGAGGAGATCTTCGGGCCCATCATGCCCATCGTGTGCGTGCGCAGCCTGGAGGAGGCCATCCGGTTCATCAACCAGCGCGAGAAGCCCCTGGCGCTCTACGTGTTCTCCCACAACGACAAGGTGGGTGGGCGCGGTCCCAGCTCCCCTGCTCGCCGCCACTCTTCCCACTTCCCGCCGCGGGGCCCAGGGCGCAGGCCGCCCGGCTGTGCTCCAAGCTGCTCCTGGGCTCCAGGCTGTGCCCAGACAGGGTGGGAGGGGCGGGGGATGTGCTGGGCAGGAGACTGAGGCGGGCTGGGTGCCGTGGCAGGTGATTAAGAAGATGATTGCGGAGACATCGAGCGGAGGGGTGACCGCCAATGACGTCATCGTCCACCTGTCCGTGCACTCTCTGCCCTTCGGGGGTGTGGGTGAGTCTGGGGGAGCTCACTGCCCACCTGCTCCCCGCAGCGTCCCTTCCAGCCCTGGACTGGGGGTTCAGGAGGAGCTGGAGCAGTCCTGGGCCCCAGACTCCCATCCCCTTTCCCGTGCGGCCCTCTGGCCTCTGCGGGCACATCCATCAGCCACACTAACCTTGAGACCCTAGAGGGCCCTGAAGGTCGCCTGTGGCCTGTTTCACGGAGGCCCTGAGAGCGGCCACGGCCCGAGGGGCACACCCTCTGGTGCCATCGCAGGGACTCCACTCATCCTGGGCGCTCCCTGTGTTGTTCCCGGTGTGGACACCAGGGGGCGCCCAGGAACCGGCCACCCCGGGAGGGTCCGGGTCTTGGCGCTGGGCCTGAGCCGCCCGGTCCCCGCAGGGCACAGCGGCATGGGCTGCTACCACGGCAAGTACAGCTTCATGACCTTCTCCCACCGCCGCTCCTGCCTGGTGAGGTCTCTGAAGAAGGAAGATCCCCTCAAAGGCAGATACCCCCCCAGCCTGGCCAAGGTGAGAGGTGGGGGTGGGGCTGCTACCAAGCCAGGCCGCGGGGAGCCTCGGCCTGCGCAGGACAAGGGCCTCACTGCCCCTCCCCCGCCCCC